GGGCCCTCATGCGTTTGAGACAAAAAGGAAGGTAGCTATTCCATTAGAAGGTATGGGTAAGGCAGCAGGGCAAGAGGTCCATTTAAAATATATATATATTAGCTGGGCGGTGGTGGTGCACTCTTTTAATCCCAGCACGCTGGAGGCATGAGCAGGCAGGTCTCTCTGAGTTCAAGGCCAGTCTGGTCTACAGAGCAAATTGCAGGACAGCCAGAGTCACACAGAGAAACCCTATCTTGAAAAACAAACAACAACAAAAAGATAAGGAAAAAAAAGAACTATTATTTTGTGTGTGTTTGTGTACCTGAGTAATATATGCATTATGTCCTGCTGGTACCTGCAAAGGCCAGAAGAGGTGCCAGGTCCCCGGAACTCGAGTTACAAGCAGTTGTAAGTTGCCAGATGTGAGTGCTGGGAACTAAATTTAGGGTCCTCTGCAAGAATAGCAAGTGCTTGGTTTTTTTTTTTGGGGGGGGGGCAGGGTTGCTCTGTAGCTCTGGCTGTCCTGGTACTCACAAAGATCAGTTTGCCTCTGCATCCCAAGTGCTGGGATGAAAAGCATATGCTATCACTGACTGGCAGCAAGTGCCCTTAGCCATTGACCCATTTCTCTGGCCCCTAAACATCCATTTATTGCTTACCTATGTGTTTGACCTAACATCTGTATGACTGTCAGGTAAACTAGTTTTTGGAATGTCAAATAGACCTCTAGTTTCTAAAGGCTGATAATGTCGTCAGATAATATCTGAGGCCCATAGCATTTCCCACTTTGTACATTCTCCTACCTGATGCTTCCAGAAATGTGGGTTTTGTTTTGTTTTGAAATAAGGTCTGACTATGTAGACCAGGCTGGCCTTGAACTCACAGAGATCCTCCTGCCTATTCCTCCCCAGTGCTGGAATTAAAGTGCCACCATGACCAACTCAATCAATGTATTTTAAACCTTTTAAATTTAAAATTTATGCATATGGGCGTTTTCTCTGCTTAAATGTCTGTGTACTACATGTGTGCCTGGGTCAGAATAAGGCATCAGATCCCCTGGTACTAGAGTTACAGATGGTTGTGAGCTGCCATGTAGGTGCTGGGAACCAAATCCAGGTCCTCAGGAAAAGCAGTCAGTGCTCCTAAGCTCTCTCTGAGCCATCTCTTCAGCTCCAACCCCTCATATATTTTTTTTCTTTTTTTAAAAATTGTTTTTCGGGTTGGGGATTTAGCTCAGTGGTAGAGTGCTTGCCTAGCAAGTGGAAGACCCTGGGTTCGATCCTCAGCTCCAAAAAATAAAAATGTTTTTCATTTCTTGTGTGTGAAGCTGTGTTACTGTGTCTGTGTAAAACACCTGATTGTCTAATAAAGAACTGGCCAATAGCAAGGCTGGAGAAAGGATAGGCGGGGCTGGCAGGCATCAGTATAAATAGAAGGAGAAATCTGGGAAGAGGGATCTAAGAGCTAGCAGCCAGAGGAGGAGGAGGACTCCAGGGGCCAGCCACCCAGCTACACAGCAAGCCATGGAGTAAGAGTAAGATTTACAAAAGTTAGAGGAAAAGCCCAGAGGGAAAAGGTAGACGGGGTAAGTTAAGTTAAGGAAAGCTGGCTAGAAACAAGCCAAGCTAAGGCCAGGCATTCATAATTAAGAATAAGGCTCTGTGTGTGATTTATTTGGGAGCTGGGTGGTGGGCCCCCAAAAAAGAGTAAAAAAAATTAACAACATCTTCCTCCAGGACACAGTCCTGTGCCTAAGTGCTCAGCATGGTTTTGAGTCCATACTCAGCTCAGTGAATGGGTGCATTTATGTGCTACATAATCAACCCACTGAGAGATTCTTACATGATTCTCTCTTCAGTTAGCATAGAAACCTGGCTTCAGGCAGAGGCCACAACTCCAATGAAGGACAGGAAAAGCTTGTTCAGGAGTGCTGCCAGCCTGGAGGATTCAGTAGCACAGAGTTTATTAAAGAAGCCATATCAAATGTTAGTTACACAGTCATTGCATTTTCTTGGCTAGTCCACAGGCAGGCTCCTTCATGAGGATGACATTTCTTTGCAAAAAGAGGAGTCACCAGCTGGGTGGTAGTGGCACACGCCTTTAATCCTAGCATTTGGAAGGCAGAGGCAGGCAGATCTCTGTGAGTTCAAGGCCAGCCTGATCACAAAGCAAGTTCCGGGACAGCCAGAGCTGTTACACAGAGAAACCTGTCTCAACTGCCCCCAACACACATAAAAAGAGGCGTCACCATCCTTCCTTAATACCCATGAATATTCCATAGAAGAGGTAGATAGAGCTAGATGACAGCAGCTGGGCAGTGCCGTGCTAGGCCTTTAGGCAGGTGATGGGGTCCAGCAGAGACAGTGCCTTCAGCCCATGATTCCCCCTCAGAGACTGACAGGACTTTACTAGTCTGGTTTTGGGCCTCCTGTTTCAGCTGCACAGTGGATGCCCTGCTCTGGACTGTAGCGCACAGGACCACGGCGCAGCTGCGGTTCCTCTTCTTCATACCAGCGCTGTTCACTGAAGTCAGGGAAGAAAGCTGCAATCTCTCTGCTGGCGGAAACCACAGAGTCTATGAGGAGAGGAAAAGGAGAGAAGAGCTACTTAGGAGGTTGAGGCAGGAGGATTGCAAAATTGGGACCAGTTTAGGAAACCAAACAAGACCATGTCTCAAAACAAAACAAAACAAAAGGCAGAGAAGGGTTATCACAGAGAATGTAGGGTCGAGGCAGGCAAGGCAGTCAGCATCAGGTTCAGAACCCTGAACCACTCAGTACTGGAGTAAGTAAAGAAAGCTCACAGGCCACATGGCTCAGACAGTTATAACAGGGCAGAAATACATGCAACAAAGCTCAATGGAGGGACCACTGGCTGTCAATCTCCTCACATGGCTCACTCATCACCCCAAGACATCCGTCCTCATTTGTGGCTGTGGACGAGAGGTTTAGACTCACCTGAGCCATGGGTAGTGTTTCGGGTGTCAGTGAGGCCCAAACTCCCACGAATGGAATCTGGGGCCGTGTGGCGTGCTCGAAATACCCTGGTGGGTCCCATCAGTGTTCTCCAGCGCTGGATGGCATCTTTGTGGGCAAGGATGTAGGCTCGGATTGGACCACTGAGAATAAAAAAGGGATCTGACCACCTAATCTAGAACATGTTGTGAACAGGGCAAGAATAAAGTGAACTGTACTTCCTGAGAATTTCCTTGCCTTCTAGTGAGTACTGATCAGTTTCAAAGAGAAGGTGATGGGGAGAGGGCGATGACGGACGTGCAAGGAGTGATCAGCAGCGCTGCTAAGCAGCATTCCCTGGCACTCCACCACAGCCATTGGTTCGGCAGTCACAGGGCGGGCACCTACCTCCTGTGGCTACCTCAGCGTGGCTCATTCATGATTCTTCTTCTTTTGGTTTTTTAAGACATAGAGTTTCTCCGTGTAACAGCCCTGGCTCTCCTGGAACTCACTTTTTAGACCAGGCTGCCCTGAAACTCACAGAGATCCTCCTGCCTCTGCCTCATGAGTGCTAGGATTAAAAGTATGTGCTACCACTGCCTGGCATCAGTCAAGTTTCTTTTCTTTTTTTATAATTTATTTAACTTTATCTTATGTGCATTGGTGTGGGAGTGTCAGATGCCCTGGAACTGGAGTTACTGGCAGTTGTGAGCTGCTATGTGGTTGCTGGGAATTGAACTCAGGACCTCTGGAAGAGCAGCCAGTGCTCTTAACCTCTGAGCCATCTCTCCAGCCCCAGTCAAGTTTCTTTAGACTTGGCAGTGACTACATCTTTAAAAAGTGACAATTCTACTCACAGGGAAGAGGAGACAGGCCAGAGCATGTGAGGATGTGGGGACCAAAGTTACAAGTACCTGGCCATGAACTCCACCAGCCGCTGATAGAAAAACCGCCCTGCAAAGAGAGAGTTTCTTCATGAGGACATGGTGCCCAAGAGAGGTTTCTCACTTTCCACCACCTGTCACTCCGCACTGTTACAGAGAATAACAAGAACCCCGGAGCTGACTTTTCTGAGTACAGATCTAGATTCTGCCACTTACAATCTGTACAGTCTTGGTTAAGTCATTAACTTCCCTAATGTGTCTTCAAATCTATGCCCTGGGATATAACAACATCAGCTTGCTGTGATTAGGGGAAATTATTTTATCTTTCTACGTGTGTGTGTTATAGAATACTACCTGCTACCTCCTTTTCTAAATCTGAGAAAAATTAAGTGAAATAATGAGCATTAGGGAAATGTTTGACAAGATAAATGTTTACTCAATGTTCATTAATGATATTACCAAGACATAATAATTAAATTTCTGATTGGGACTATACAGGAAATCTCTCCTAGGAAAAGAAGATACTGATTATCCTGAGAAGTCTGTGCAGAAGCAAACACAAGAAGACATAGGGTCTGGGGAGATGGCTTGGCCAGCAGAGGGCCTGCAATACAAGATGAGGACCTGGGTCTGACTTCCAGAAAACACATACAAATGCCAGGCATGGTGGCACACATTTACAAACCCAGTGCTGGGGAGTCTGAGGCAGGTGGATGCTTGGGGCTCAGTGACCAGCCAGCTTAGTCTACTTGTTGAGTTCTAGGCCGGTAATGGGACCCTGATGGGGGGTAGGGAAGAGATGGTGCCTGGGACTGACACCTAAGGCTGTCCTCTTGCCTCTACATGCACACACACACACACACACACACACACACACACACACACACACACACACACGCGCACACGCACACACACATGCACGCATGCGCACACACACATGCACACACGCACACACACATGCACACACACGCACGCACGCACACACGCACACGGGGATGGGGTGCTGTAATGCAGACCCAGCCTCACCTTCATGCTCTCTGTAAAACCTCCGGCAGTCTTCCCTTTCCCACTGCAGCTCTCTCATCCGTACAATGAGGAACTTGTTGCTCAGAATCTGCTGATGAACAGCCTGGAAAACAAACATGACGGAGAGAAGATTATCTAAAGGGATCACTTCAAGTGTCTGTCCTGTGGATGGGTGCTGTGCTCTAGATATTAAGTACCCTTCAACCCCCCGAAGCTCGTGTGTGAAGACAGCTGATGGCCATGGAAACTTCAGAAGGTGGGCCTTCCTGAAGAAAGCATCACTAGGAGTGTGCTCCTGAAGGGGAACTGGAACTCAGCCTGTCCACTCTCCACATCCCAGCCCATGCTGTGAGAATTCCTCACCACAACCTTCTCCCTCAGCATAGGCTCAAGGAGACAGGACCAGGCGCTACAGACTACAATCTGTGAACCTCTGAGGCAAAAAGCATCTTCCCTTCTTTTAAGTATGGCCCAGTGGCAGAAAGCTGATTAACACGGTGGGTCAAGACCTCAGATATACTGCCAGAGTATGAACCTGGGGTACATGGGGACAAGAAGTATGTCCCTAGGCCTCACCACCTGGAACACCATGTAAGTCTTTTTAATGGCCCTGTCCTCAGTTTCCCTCATTCATTCTAAACCATCACATTTGACTAAAAACTCAACTTATTTACGTGGTATGCTTTGGTCAGAGTTCTGGGTGGTTTCTACTTGGAACAAGGTGCATGCCCTTGAGCCTAGCACTCAAGGCTACACTTCCCTTGCCCTCTACCACTCCTCCCTGGTTGCACCGTCCAGGCAGCCACCCCTGCTTCAGCATCTCCCTTCTGATCTCCTCCTGGCATTAATCACTGCTTGCTTATCCTCGGAGGCCTGAGTCCTCATACCATTCTAGAGAGCTGTGCACTTCACTTCCTGAGCGGCCTCTGTGCTACACACTCTCAGAAGCCCCTGAGTTCTCAACCTTGCAGTAGGCAGGGTCCCACATGATCCCTTCCTTTTGTCTGCCTTCTTCCTTTTTTTTTTTTTTTTTTAAAAGACAAGGTTTTTCTGTGTAGCCCTGGCTGTCCTGGAACTCACTCTGTAGACCAGGCTGGCCTCAAACTCAGAGATCCACCTGCCTCTGTCTCCCCAGGGCTGGGATGAAAGGTGTGCACCACCACCTCCTGGCCTATCTGCCTTGTTCTTATTAAAAGCAATTCCAGGCTGGGCGGTGGTGGCGCATGCCTTTCATCCCTGCACTCGGGAGGCAGAGGCAGGTGGATCTCTATGAGTTCGAGGCCAGCCTGGTCTACAGAGTGAGTTCCAGGACAGGTACCAAAACAACACAGAGAAACCCTGTCTTGAAAAACGGAAAGAAGCATTTCCTAACTCTTAGAATTCACTGATCTTTTGTCATTTTGCCCTTGTCTTGTCTACGTCTATAGTCTCCTTCTTGTCAATCTTGTTCACTCTACCATCTCAAATGGTAGTAATGATTTCCAGGTACTGCTCCTCAGCTCAGGTTTTCCCACCCGTCCTCAGGCCTGTGAGTGTGACAAAACATGATTAAGTCACGGCACACAACAAAGGGGATTTTACAGATACATTTCGGTTACTAATCAGTTGATTCTGCTTTAGCTAGAAGGGAGCTTCACCTGGTGGGACTAAATAGTCACCTAAGGGGCCAGCAAGATGGTTCAGTGGGTAAAGGCACTTGCTGTTAATCCTGAGGACCCAAATTCGACCCAAATTCAACCCCCAGGATCCACACGGTGGAAGGCAAGAACCAACTTGCGTGAAGCTGTCCTCTGACCTCCACACACATCATGGCACACTCACATGCTATCTCTCTCTCACACACACATGTAACAACCAAACAAACCTAAATCAAAGTCACACAAGCCCTGTAAAAGCAGTTTTCTCTGGCCAGGGGCTGAAAGCTAGAGAGGTCGGAAAAACATGAAGGATTAGCTACACCACTGCATGTGTGAGGAGTGTGGGTTATCTCAGAAACTGAGTCCTTCTTGCCTGACGGCTAGCAGGCACACAGGAACCATCCTCTGCCAACAGCAGTAGCAATCCTGGAGGTGGGAAATCCCTAGACACTCTATGTAAGGCCCAGGCAGTCCACATCTTGTCTTTGGTCTCAAGAGACTCTAAGCAGGAGATAACCCAGGAAAACTTGCTGACCTCTAAACTATGGAATTGGGAGACAAAAAACATGTACTCTTTTAGAAAAGTATTTTTATTATCTTATGAGTGTTTTGCCTGTATGTATTTCTGTGTAGTGTATATGTGTCTAGCATCTGAGGAAGCCAGAAGAGGGTGTTGGATTCCTTGGAACTGGAGTTATAGATGGTTATGAGCCAACATGTAGGTGCTGGGAACCAAACCTAGGTCCTCTAGAAGAGCAACCAGTGCTCTTAAGTGCTGAGCCATCTCTCCAGTCTGAAATGAGTTGTTTTAAGCTATCAAATTAGCTTAAATTAGTATAATTTGTTTAAAAATATAGGCCGGGCATGGCAGTGCACCCCTTTAATCCCAGCACTTGGGAGGCAGAGGCAGGTAGATCTCTGTGTGTTTGAGGCCAGCCTGGTCTACAAAGTGAGTTCCAGGACAGCCAGAGCTGTTACACAGAGAAACTCTGTCTTGAAAAACAAAAACAAACAAACAAAAATATATAAGATAAACTAATATAACACACACACACACACACACACACACACACAGACTAGAGTTTTCCTTTTTTTTTTTTTTTTTAATTGGGGCTGGGCATGTTGGAATACATCTTTAATCCTAGCACTCTGGAGACAGAGGCAGGTGGATCTCTGAGTTCTAGGTCAGCCTGGTCTACA